TTATGCAATCCCCTTGGTTCCTGTTTTTAGTATATTGTACGGAGTGTACCCAATATTTTCTAGCAAGTTAGATTATCCTTGTGTGGCAAGTTACTTAAAAATTAAATTTAATTCAGTAATCTTGTTGTGACAAGTTATCTTTTTTGTGGCAAGTTGCATAAAGATGCCGATTTGATTACTTTTTAGTGATCTACCAAGGCCAGCTAAACTTGATAAATCCATGGATAGTACGCACAAGTCTTTAATTTGGAACTGTGTTTGGTAGCTTCATATTCCTATGGTCTTTCTTCTTCATACTAGGTCTGCATGTGAGGTAGTTTCAGAACCGCATAAAAATGTTCTTCTGTACATGGTCTGTTTAGTCATGTATTTATTTCTGTGCTTCAGTTTTAGTTTCAGGTTCAAATGTTTTCCGTAATTGGTAGTTATTTTTTGTTTCATTTTTTCTTTGTTTCATTTTTCAGTCTTCTTTTAGGGTTCGAATGTCTTCATAAATCCTACATATTAGTTGCCTCACATACAATGTATAAGTTGTTACAAAAGTATAGCTATTGCATACATAAATTGCCACAAAAGAATTTGCCTCCCGGTTTCAGTTTTCAGTCAAGTTTTTATTCAGTTTTTTAGTTTCAGTTTTCAGTCATGTTTTTTTTAATGTTTTTAGTTTCAATTTTTAGTCACCCTTTTAGTTTGAAGGCATTCATAAATCCTACCTATTAGTTATATAATAACTTATTTATTTTTTCTCAATTATTTGTTTTGTTTTCTAGTTGTCATTATCAATTCTAGTTTATTGTACTTTTAGTTTTAGTTTTCTTTTGGAATTTTTTTTCATTGTGTCTACTTTAGTTTTCATAGTCTATTAGCCAATTCATTTTTTTTTGTCAATTTCAGTTTTGTCTTGGTAATTTTACTTTTAGTGTTATTTGTTTTTTTTCATTTTGTCTTCTTTTCGCTTTTTAGTTTCTATTTGTCAATTTCAGTTTTTTATTGCTTATCAATTTTAGTCTTTTTTTCATTTTATCTACTTTAGTTTTTATTTTCTATTTTTCAATTTTAGTTCTATTTTTGGTTGTTAATTTTGGTTCTATTTTTTTGTTAATTTCAGTTTCATTTTACAGCAAGTCATGTTTGTTGGATTTTGTAATAACTGCCTACTAGTTGGCATCAAGTCATGTTTTCTTCCTTTTTTTAATATGTTGTGTATAACTTGCCCCCTTAGTTGGTAGCGTATGCAATGCTTGTTTTAATAATTTACCCCTCTTGTTGTAGCCCCTCAGGTTTCGAGCGGAAAGGATGAGCAGATATGAGCAAATTGTATAATAACTTGCCCCCAATTGGAAGCTTATGTAATGCTTACCTTAATAATTTATCTCCAAAGTTGTACAAGTATAATATTACGTGGTAGTAACTCCTTTGATATTTTTTGTTCCCCCCAACTTATGCATACTATGTAACGAGTTTAGTATATTTTTGGAGTAGCAACATTAGTATTACTTGGTAGTAACTCTTTTTTATGTTTTTGCCCCGAGCTTGTGTATACTATGTGACAACTTGTATATTTCTGGAGTAGCAATTTTAATATTATACACGTATTACACATAAATTGTTATTGAAATAAAATTGTTCGAAACATATGCAAGTGGGGTCTAGTTTTATTTGCCTCGTCACGTAGAACACATCGGTGTAGACGGAATTAAAAATGGATAATTCATTTTAATGTTATAGCAATAAAAAAATGTTTTGCTTTTTGTCGCTTACGTCAGCATGCATCATTAATGCCGGGCACATGCAACAGCGGATGGTATCATTGTATGGGAGCGGGATCATATCATTGTACGGGAGCGGGTGGACCTCAGCCAGTAGATAAATCTTTTACCTCAGCTTGCTTGCGGCTGGTCCGAATCCGATCAAGCAATGTCGGGGCGCATGGAAGGGTTGCGCGCTCCCCCCGTGGTGCGACGGGTCGCGCTATAACGCGGTCCATCTCTATTTTACCTCTCAAACTATCCGCCGGAGTCTAAATTTTCTCATTGAACTCTAAAAATAGATTTGAATTCTCAAAATCATTCAAATTATGGCTCTATCATGGTTTCAAGGGTGGTTTTAAAGGCACTTTTGTCTTTTCAGTTAAAAAAATCTGGTAAATATTTGATATGGTTTCGAAATCATAGAAAATGTTTCTAAATCATACAAAAGAGTCCATACCTAATACAATTATAAATATCAAATTCATATTTCATAATGATAAAGTGAGTGGAAATAGAAATTTGATTCCAAAACGGGTTGGAAAGAAAAATATCCAAATAAAGAGTACATGTAAAACACATTTAGTAAAGACAAAATTATAAATACAAACTGTAAGACATTAACAGTTTAGTCCCAAATGAATTGGGAAAACTAAATACCTAAATGAATAGTCCATATATTTGCAAATAGCTAAATTTTACATTGAAAAGTAGAGAAAAAATAGTAAGTTAAATAGGTACCTAAATAAAAGTTAAAGTTAGCATATTAAAGTTAAGAGCAATTCATATCTTTCATGCACTAAAAAATACCACATTTAGCCTGATATAGAAAAGAAAATAAATGAAAAATCCAATATAGGTATAACAAATATATGTGCGAAAAAGATAAGATAGGGCATTGTAGAATTTGATTAATGATCACAAGTAGATTTTGCTATGCTATGCACAAACAACACATAAGGAACATCTATGTAGGGATCACACCTGCACAAGATATATCCAAACTAGACATTCATGTCTTTGGCATGCCTATGGAAAACAAACCACTTCAGGTCCCCACCACTCCTTCCCCTGGCGTGTTCTATGCCTCACCATCTTAGCTTGTCCTATCACCGAACCTCTAAGTTGCCAAGTTGCTCATTCCCCCTTTTTCGTGGTTGGAAAGTTTTGGCATCACCATTTACGTCAATAAAAGCAAAAACAATCAAACAAAATGTGTCAATTCTAACTGTCATGACTCTTTTCTAAGTGTTTTCATGGCAGTGACCTAGGAGAGGAACATATTTCAGTTGCTGAGATTATATCTAATTAAATCACAACATGAATAACAGCTTTTGAATCTTGCAATTGATCTATTGGTTACCTAATGTGCATGCTTGAGAGGGTCGCGAGCAGGGATAGAGCTAGGACCGCCACTAGGAGTTGTGGCACTATTTCAACCGCAAGAATGTCCTCTAACTTTATTAAGTAACGGCTCGAACTCTTGCCATCAACAAAGGTTCACCACCCTCCCAAGCATATCTCCATTTGCATAGCACTCTTCATTGCTCTTTCTTGGCTCCACCCCTAGTCACGAGCAGCAAGCCATTCACATTTGTTCTTGGTGAGAAGTTAGTCAAATAGAAACAAATGTGGTGACAGCATGATCGATATTAGGATAGAGTTGCATGGGTGGAAGGCTCGACTGCTCGAGAGATCAGCAGCTTATTGACGTTAGTAATAGTTCCAAAGTAGACATGAGCTAGATCATCATGAATCTAGTGATGTTCGTTGCAAAAAAAAAAGAATCTAGTGATGTTTTAGGGTAAAATAGGATAAGTACGAATTCGCAAGAGAAAGTATAATATGATCGAAAATTTAAATGTATATATGAGGGCCAAAGGATATTAATTTGTAAGAGAACTTGGACGGTAATTTTATTGATGAACGGAACTCATCAAAACTCAAAAGAAAACTAAAGGTTAATTGGCCTCATTAAAAAATTGTACAACCATGGGATATTAGTGAAAAAAAGAAGAGAGAGGGAGAGAGAGGACGATAGCTTTAAAACAGCGAATTAGTCAATATTCAATAATAGCTATGTAAGTTCAGACTTCATACCGATGGATGCAGTGGAGGTAGATGGAGAGAGGAAATTACAATAAAATAAACAAAGTTATTTAAAAAATATTTTTGAGTAAAAAATTAATTGATGAAAAAGATATATACCCATATTATTTACATGGGCCACCTTACTAGTTTATCGCCTAAAGTAGAGATGATTTGTCTCATCGATCTTGTCTTTGTCAATTCGTCAAATATATATAAATTCCAGCATATAGTAGTATACACAAAACTTCCTACAAATAAGGAACGGGGGTGTGATCCTTTGCTAGGTTTAATGTGATCTTCAAACCCAACCACCCTTCCGTCGTCACACGATCAGACAAGAACCTCAACCCAAAAGCAGACTGTACTGAATAGCTTCGTGAGAAACCCTGCTCCTTCCGGTTGTGACAACAACACACTACCAGCCAAAGTTGTGGCCACTGGCCACTGGCCACCCTCTTCTTTTCTTTTTCCTTTTGTCTTTCGCCCTATCTTCACATGCACCTTAATTATTCCATGTTTCGCCTGAATTTGTTGTTTTGTTCAGGCGACGTGTGGTCCATCTATCGTTCTTCAAGATCCATGCTTTGAGTTGAGTGCTTTAGTACGAAAACAGGTGCAGATCGTCGTGTCACCTGAAACTAGCCATATTTTAGACACCTGAAATATATCAAGTCCCTAATTATTCCGCTCTGAGACCACGTTAATTACATCTCACGCATCAACATGAGGGATAACCAATGCAAATGTAATGTTCACTCCAACCATATGCATGGATCGCTTTTCCCACCATACTCATACATATACGCTTCCTCCGCCTCCAAAAAAGTCACACATCTTATTTTTCGATGATCTAGCCAATGAGATTGAAAAAAATAGTATCATCATGTGTAGTTTTAAATACATTTATTAAAAAATATATTGCATGATTAATTTAATAATATTTATTTAGCATCATATATATTAGTATATATAAATTGTATATGTTTGGTTAAATTTGGGATTAGTTGTGACTTTTAAAAAGTGAAAATGTGGGACGGGTGAGTATGTATATATATTATCGTCTCACTTTGTGATGTACCACTACCACATCACATTACAGATCGACAAATGCTACGTGCATCTGGCCTGTTTGCTCCGGCCGCCGCCGCGCCGTCATCAGCTATGGCACCGGCCAACACTGCTTCTAGTGGTGGCAGCGACGAAGCGAGGTACCCGCTGAACGCGGAGTCGTACCGCCTGCTGTGCAAGATCGGGAGCGGCGTGAGCGTGGTGGTGTACATGGCCGTGTGCCTGCCACTGGGCTCGTCGGCGGTGGTGGCCATCAAGGCGATCGACCTAGAGCGGTCGCGCATCGACCTCGACGGCGTGCAGCGGGAGGCGAAGGCCATGACGCTGCTATCCCACCGCAACGTGCTCCGCGCGCACTGCTCCTTCACCGTGGGGAGCCACCTGTGGGTGGTGATGCCCTTCATGGGCGCCGGCTCGTTGCACTCCATACTGCGCCACGGGTTCCCCGGCGGCCTGCCGGAGCCGTGCGTGGCCGTCGTGCTCGCGGAGATGCTCCGCGCGCTGTGCTACCTCCACGGGCGGGGCCGCATCCACCGCGACATCAAGGCGGTCAACATCCTTGTGGACTCAGACGGCGCCGTCAAGCTCGCCGACTTCGGCGTATCGGCGTCCATCTATGAGACCATGCACGCGTCGGCGTCGGCGGCGATGGCGGCGGCGCTGGGGCTCGGCTCGTCGGCGTCGTGCTACTTCAACGACATGGCGGGCACGCCGTACTGGATGGCCCCCGAGGTGATCCACTCACACGTCGGGTACGGCATCAAGGCCGACATCTGGTCGTTTCGGCATCACGGCGCTGGAGCTCGCGCACGGCCGCCCGCTGCTCTCGCACCTGCCGCCGTCCAAGTCGATGCTGATGAGGACCACCAGCCGCGTCCGCCTCGAGGAGACCTCCGTCGTGAGTAGCAAGAGCAACAAGTTCTCTAGGGTGTTCAAGGACATGGTGTCCGCGTGCCTCTGCCAGGAGCCGGCCAAGCGGCCGTCGGTGGAGAAGCTCGTCCGCCACCCGTTCTTCAAGGCCTGCTACCGCCGCTCCAGGGACTTCCTGTTGGAACCAGTGGTGACCACCGAGTTCACGATCTTGGAGCTGGCTTACAGCCGGCCCGGCTCGTTACCACGAGCCTGCGCTCCAACAGGTCTAAGGTCCACCAGAGCTACAACATATAAGGCCTTGGGCCTTACTCAACCGAAAAGACTAGCCTGATAGGTGGGGGTTTCTTCCGCCTTATATGTTATGCTCCCCCACCATCGCTACACAATGTGGGACTAAACCTCAATAATCTCCCCCTTAGTCACACATCGGGGTGCCCCCGCCATATGTGACCCTCAAGATTTTTTATCGGGTTTAGGTTTTTTTTTACCATGGGCTCGATACCAATTGTTGGAACCAGTGGTGACCACCGAGTTCATGATCTTGGAGCTAGCTTACAGCTAGCCCGGCTCGTTACCACGAGCCTACGCTCCCACAGGTCCTAGGTCCACCGGAGCTACAACATATAAGGCATTTGGGCCTTTCCAACCCAAAAGACTAGCCTGATAGGTGATGGTTCTCCCACCTTATATGTTGTGCTCCTCCACCATCGCTACATGATGTGGGACAACTTGGAGTTTGATCCGACGACCGAGGACCCGGTGGTGGAGAAGAGGTGCGTCCCGTTCGAGAGCCAGGTGGAGCTAGACGACAGTGACTCCTCCACCGGGGATGGAGATAGAAGGCCGTCGCCGCAGCGGCTGCATGGGGATCACGATGAAGATCACGATCACAGGAAGGCGCGGCGGAGGCGATAGGGCTTAAGGAGCAGCAGCAAGTGGTGACTCGGCAGCGGATGGCCGTCCTGGAGAGCCTGGAGATGCAGAGGGACATGGTGACGCACGTGTTGCAAAGCACTGCCGGCCGCTTCGATGACGTCGACGTCGACGGCGGCAATGGCGATGCCTGTGGCGTGAACTCGATAGCTCCAAGTGAGGAGGAGAAGGAAGAGATACTGCTAGGGTACGTCCAACAGCTGGAGCACAGGGTGGAAGACCTGAGGAAGGAGGTCGAGGAGGAGGTGGCATGGAACGCCCCGCTGGAGAAGATGCTGCAAGAGAGGGTTATCATTAGCGACGATGAGAAGAAGATAAACTCATCTCATATGTCGGCTGGGTACAGTTAGTTGACGCTGTTCCGGTTCCGCTTGTTCATCAAGGTCGAGTGCGTGTATTTTACAGTACGACTCCCTCCATTCTGAAATGTAAAAAAAATCAAGATATATAGTTTTTACTTATACAGCTAGTTATATCATTATATGTTATGTATAGATAAATTATTGTTGTATATATAGTTACACGAAACAAGCAATCTAAGACACATGAGCATCGAGTGGCACGGCAGGGTTTATGTTATCCATGGACTTTGCGGAACCGTGCTTATTAGGATTTTGGTGGCTCATAAGGACGCCGCGAGGCCCCGTGAGGTCCATGGCTTAGCTCGCCAGCGACCGCCAGGGCAGAGTTGTAGCTCTAATTCCTGGACGAAATTACAAATAAGAGAATCTATTTATAGGATGGAAAGAAGAGGAAAGAAGAACTTTAAGGCCCCTTCGAAATAGGAATTTCAAAATTGTTTAAGAGTTTCACATAAATCAGTATTTTTTTTGGGGAAAAATCAGTATATTTTTCATAGGGAAAACACGTGACACAACAAAAATCCGGGGTTCCAAAGGCGGCCTTATTAGTGGTGGGGGTGCAATATTGAATGGGCCTTAATAGGGACATAGCCGTGGGCTACGTGACGGAGTTTGTCTATGGGCACTAGTAGAGAAACGACCTTTGATCCACTTCGAAATTTGGCTTTAGTCCCGGTATTTTTCGCGCCGGGACTAGAGAAACATTTAGTACCGGTTGGTAGCTCCAACTGGGACTAAAGGTCCTGCCCAACGGCTATTGTGGCAGGTTTTTGTTGCAGGGGACCTTTAATCCCGGTTGGAGCTACCAACCAGAACCAAAGGTTAACTTTTACTCCCGGCTGGTCCCTCCAACCGGGAATAAAAATCTACACCCGGCTGGAGGCTCCGTCCGAGACTAGAAAGGGACCTTTAGTCCCGGTTGCTGTCTCCAACCGGGACTAAAGGTCACCAACCGTCCAACCCGGGCGTACGTATACGGGAGCTGAGTCGATCGAGACACTAGGAGTAGCTAGTTGTTCACCATTTTAAGCTAGCTGTTCACCGGGCACTAGCTAGATGTTCACCGGGCTTAAATCAGCAAAACGTAGGAGTAGCTAGCTGTTCACCGTTTTTAGCTAGCTGTTCACCGGGCTTAAATCAAATGGGCTTAAATCAGCTAGCTGTTCACCGTCAGTATGTGTAAGCCAACAAAACAGTATGTCTCTGCTAGCTAGCTGCTACACTAGTATGTAGGAGTAAGCCACCGTCAGACACATGCATGCGTATCAATTAGTCCCGGCTGGTATTACGAGCCGGGACTAAAGGTATACCTTTAGTCTCGGCTGGTATTACCAGCCGGGACTAAATGTCTTTTAGTCCCGGGCGTTTATAGGAGCCTCGATGGGCCGGCCCAGTACGCAATATGCTGGAATTGCTGGCTAGTCCCACATATTAGCACCATCTCGCTTGCTCAGAAGAGTGAAAGCTAACTTAAAAGCTCAGCTCTCAAACCATGCAGCACGAACTTGAACAGGATCTGCTCTATAGGATTGTACCGCTGATTCTTGACTAAAGGTCCTTCGTACTATAGTTTATACAAAATGTTGAACATTATAAACGCACGTATATTCTAGCAGTGTAGAATGCGTATTCAAAAACCAAAACGAATCATCAATTAAAAATAAGAAAAAAAAAGAAAATAGAAATAGAAACAAAAAAAAGAAAACATTCAGTTCGGTAGTAGCGTGAAAATAGAAAAAAGGAAAATAGAAATAGAAACAAAAAAAGGAAAAAAACTTTAGTCCTGATTGGTATTATCAACCGGGACTAAAGGACCGGTCTACGTGGTCAGGCCGAGAGGCCTCTTTAGTCCCGGTTGGTATTACCAACCGGGACTAAAGACCTTTAGTATCGGCCGCGAAACCGGGACTAAAGGAGGGGTCTTTTAGTCCCGGATTCGTGCTCCCGGTTCCAAAACCGGGACTAAAAGGGGTTACGAACCGGGAGTAGAGCTAGTTTAGCTAGTAGTGGGGCCTAACGCTCCGTCGGCTAGATTCTCTTGTCCCAATGATGTCAGCCGCGCTGGCGGTGTCAAATTTGGCTTAACGTTGTGTTACAAAAACAAAAAAGCCAAGGTCTACGTCGTCAAATAAAGTGTGGTTTTGCAAACTATGGTTTGTGTGTCTGTTTTCGTAAAACAACTAATGTATCATGTCATACGTTAATAAATTGAAGCTGTATGTGGTGACCAGGCACTGAGCTTCGATGAAGCTCGTGTGCCGTCTTATGTTCAGATTTTGTTTGACAACGACTTAGCTGTTCCACAAAGCTTATGAAAAGATGCTTTTCAAATAAAATAAAATAAAATATAGATAATTATTTGAACTTTCTTAGAAAGATATATTTTATTCCAGGCTCCGCAAAAAAGCATTGCACCCAATCCTTCATTATTCATGTCTTTCTGGATGCAAGCCAGGGACTTACCACCTTTGACACTTGGGTCTAACGATGATTTATCGCAAGTTAGGCAACAAAGATACGAAATTAGAGGAGAGAACTAAGAAAAGATTTCGTAGATGAAAAGAAAAACACTTGTCAGTTAGGGTGGCTTAGTATTGATTAACTCAATGATGAATAAATACAAATATGCTTTCCCAAGAAAAAGAAAAATAATCAGTATAGTCCAATTTGACCTTTAGGGCTCTAAAATAGGACTATTAATTTCTTAATAATGTGTTTACCACGGTATAAATTGAGAAGGAGGAAGAGTTTTACAACGGCAAAAATAGCAACAATGACAATGGGCAAAAACCTTAATTAGATTGCTTACACAACCCGTACCAGAGAAACAACCAACCACCCATGACAAAAAGAAGAGCCATAGACAAACATCCGCAAAAACAAAGCATGACTTACAACCAAAGGTTCCTCTAAAGAATTAAACCTGCAAACTAGACCTTCATATTAAAAGAACACCACAAGCTCTTAGGCCTAGACCAAAACTTCTTGAAGATGAGAGAACGGCCACGTGTTGACAATATGCCCCTCTATCATCATTGGGAAGGAAAACACCCCACCAACTTTGGTGGCCCAGTCCGATAACTCGGAAGTCCTAACCAGGCAAGGATATCTCATGGACAAGGCGTAGATCGACTTAGGGGATATCAGCATGTCCATGTCCCCTGAATTGTAAAGATCTGACTAGATCTTTTTGTAACAAATTAGGAAACCAAGCTTACCTTGTAATCCTATCTCCTGACTATATAAGAAGGCATAGGGTGCCCTTGATCAACATCATTGACCACCACCATCATCAACACCTCAGCACCTAGCGCGTTAGATGGGATGACCACGATGAGCCGAAGGTGGCCGACCGTCAAAGAGGGAGGATGGGAGGTGGCAGGGTACTCCGGCAAGGTTGGGAAATGGTGTTGCGGGCATGGATTCATGACAAGGAGCAATGTTGTGGATGTATCTCTCCCTTGCGAATCAACGAAGGTTGAAGTGGAGTGAGAGGTGGCTTACGCAAGGAGGTGTAGCCTTAAGCTTGACCGTGCCATGGCGGTTTGTGGTGGCAATATGGCTCCGAAGGTTTAGAGGGAAAGAGTATGTGGGGTAGTTGCAGCTCGAGCACGCGAAGATCAGAGGCATTTTATAGGAGAGGAAAGGGACGGGACTGGCCAGTGATGGACTTCGGTAAATATCGTTAATGGCAGCCCTTACAACAGGGTAGAGGAGTAATGGAGGGGTGTGAAGAGAGGAGTGAATGAAGGCTGGGGGTTAATGCATGGTAGTGAATGATCAAGAATGTGTGGGTGTGAAAGGCCAAGACGGCCATGGCGTGCTTGAGCTTGAGCTTGAGCTCGGTTGCACGCATGGGAGGAAGGGGAACATTGGGAGGAGGAAGATGTTCGGTGGTCCCTACATGTCGGTGTTATAGGGAGAGGAGGTGGGAGTGGGCTGGCCAAGAGGTTGTATTAGGCTGACGGCCAGCAAGGAAAATGGGTACACGCAGATGGAAATTAGAGAAAATGAAAATAAGGGAAAATGGATGGGGCCTTGAGTTGGATTTTGAAGGGTTTCGAACCAAACAGAAATAGGGGTTTTTAAATTTTTTCACAAACTTATTTTAAACCATTTAAGTTTTCAAACTTTTGAACACAATTTGAAAACTATTTAAACAATATTTTGAAACATCTAGTTTTGTTAAATAAACAATTTGAAAATAGAAAACCTATTCGGGGCTTAAATGGACTTTTTAAAATTCATTTTTCACACAATAAAATTAATGCAAAGTAGTGGATGCAACACCCCTAGCTAGGAGGCTAGGAAAATCAGTTTAGAAATTATATAGCATTTTTTATTTAACTCAATTAACAATAAATCAACTAAACCTTGAAAATTTTACCAAAAAATTAAATCATTAATTTTATTTAGTGTATTTCTATTCAACCCAAAACAAAAAATTAGGATGTGACATGCATCCGTTGGGTGCAAGCGCCTTCCTCTACCGGCCATCTTCTCCATCTCCAAGCTCTCAGAGCCACTGTACCCCAAGGTCCAATCTGAAGGCTTGTTTGCTTGCAAGACTGAAAACCTGCCGGGCATAGGCAAGCAATCCCAGGAGCACGATTTCATCGGCCTGAGGTCACGATCGCTGCCTGGACCAGCAGCTGCCTGCCAGGCACCATCCAAACACGCCTTCATTGCCGAGATCCAGCCATGGAAGCCTCCGTAGGGAGGTAAGGAAAAATAGTGAAAAACTGATGTGCCAAACGGTAAGCTTCTCCTCGCTCAAACTTCTCTTCCAAGCAGCTGTTGTTGGTAGCTGGAGAAAAGCTGACTTTTCCTAGAATTTAAGCCTTTCCAAACAACACCTTAATGATACTCTGTGTTGAATGTAAAAACATGATTGCTTTAAGTGAAGAACTACAACAGATGATTGTTTTTAAGTGAAGAAGTACAACCGTGATGAATGTGATTATGTGAAAAAAGTAATTTTACAGTCA